TCCATATTAGACATCATTATATTATATATTTAATATGATCTCTTGGGTCCCTGAGGCTCTGTTTTTTATCACATGACTCTCTATTCTTTTGACTAGAGATTCTTTTCTGTCAAGTTTATCGACCCTTTCTTCTCCATCTCCTGTCTGTTAAGGTCAGTTAAAGCCCATGCAATTAATTTTTCATTTGTTGTTAGACTTTTCAGTTTTAACATTTCCATCTGGTTCTCTTTTACAGTTTCTATTTCTGTGCTGATAGTCACTCTGTTCAGTGTGCCCTCCTATTCATTTGCGGTCGTATTATATTTAGAATAGCTGTTTCTAAATTTAATTCCAACACCTGTATCATCTTGGGGCTGCTTTCTATTACATGTTTTTTCTCTTGGTAAGTATAGGGTAAGGTAAAAAGCATCAGGCTTTTCTGCCCTCCCACCATCAGGATAGATGACGGAACCCTGCGGTCCTGAATGCATGCCTGATGGCGGGCACCTGGAGTAGGGTGTGGGCATATGTAGATGGGATTCACCTGGGCTAGGACTGGGCTTTTAAGGGCGGCATCATGGGGATGCCAGCAGAAGCAGAGAAGCCGAGAGAGAGAGAGAGAGAGAGAGAGAGAGAGAGAGAGAGAGAGAGAGAGAGAGAGAGAGAGAGAGAGAGAGAGAGAGAGAACGCCAGAGAGCCCAGATAGAGTGGAGACTTGCTAGGTGCTGGGAGGCACCCCTGCCTGTAATATGCCTGGTAAATCTAAAAAAAAGACCTGCAAAACCCACTGAAGACTCTGACTCCTCCTTTACCCGGTCTGCTGGATCAGAAAACCTGCACTATGGTCTTCCTGCCACTACAGTTATGAATCACATTTTAGTGTTCCTCACATATCTAGTAATTTTTTTGGTGCATTATGAACACTGTGAATGGTACTTTGTAGAGACGTTGGATTCTATTATCTTCTTCTAAAGTGTGTTGTCTTTTGTTTTAGCAGGCAAAGCCTGCTAAGGTTCCACTTTGAACTTCTGCAGGTTTCATATGTTAGGATGGATCTATTGCAGTTTTACCCTGTAGTCCTAATGCAAATTCTTTACTCATGGAACGTGAGTTTTCTCCTAAGGCATGTACTTTCGGTGGTTTTAATAAGGAGCCCACAGTGTTTGCACAGACCCTGTAAGAATTTGAGATCCACTCTCCAACCCCCCACTCCCGTGGCAGGCAATAGCTGAAATCTCTGCTCAGGTTACAGCCTTCCAGCTGTTTTCTTGCTCCTGGACTCCCTGAGTCTCACTCATACATGTGCAGTTCAGGAGTCAACCAAGGATTTGCGAGGAATTTACATGCAGGCTTTCATGGATTTTCTCCCTCATTTCAAGATGCACAGGCTGACCCATGGTTCTCGGGCACCTGAAGCCACTGGGGCTAGAGATTTCTGCTCACATTCTAGTCATGCATGCCAGGCCCTAGGGAGGGCTCTCAGGGGAAAGGTGGTGTAAGGGTGGATTTCACCCAGTGTGTTTCTCTTCATTGAATGCTTGGATTCAATTCTCTTCATTGACTGCTTTTGATTGATCTGCTGTGCCTTCAGTTATCTTTTATATTCTGTCTAGAATTGGTCATTGTTATCTGGGGAAAGGTTAGGGCTACATAATCTGCTCAGTCACTATCTTCAGACCAGCCCCTCCTCACATTTTTTTCACAAGCACCAATCAGGCAGTGCTTGTCTTTATACGTAGGATGCACAGGGAGCCTGACAAAATGCTTGGAGCAAATCTGGTGTCCGGCTCATCTTGTGCAGCCTGGTGCGTCAGAACCAGGAGATGGTTAGCTGAGGGACGTCAGGTCAGGTCAGGTCACTCCTCTTTCCACGGACACAGCATGTATGGAGCACATGTCCCAGGATCTTGCAGAGCAGGACACTGTGGGCATTTCAGAATAGAAAACATGACAAAGACATCATGCCAATGTTCATTTGAGTCAGATTTTGAGTGCCTATTAAATGCCAGTCACTATATTTGGGACAAAGACATGAAGAAGGGAAGCTCCTTTTGGTAATTAAAAAAACCACTAATGCATAGGAACCCTAAGCAGGCCCATTGCCAGGTGTCTGTGGAAGGCTTCTTGGAGGGAAAGCCCTGCACTGAATCTTAACCAAAGACGGAGTGTCAGATAGCCAGGCAATGGGTGGGGCTTGGGCTGATGGAATAGCATGGGCAAAGGCATAGGGGAAGGGATGTGCTGTGGAAGAAGGTACAAGTAAGAAGAGAGACCCCCACTCTGGAGTCTCCACAATGGCAGGAATCTGGTCCCTGGGAGGGAGGGGTGGAGCCCTTGAACTTGTCTGAGCTGGTGAAGGCAGGGATTATTCACACAGTGCCTAGGCCTCCTTGGTGCTACTTCCCACCCCAAAGTGTCTGGGCACCTAGGAGCAGAAGGTACATTATCTTGTGAAAGAATTAAGGTGCCTGACTTGCAAAGAAAGGACTGATGTGAACAACACACTTCATTTATACACTGTCTCCCCTGCCAAAGACTTTGAAAATCAAATACTCCCCAAGCTATGGAAACCCAACCACTGACTGATCGTTAGGACTTTATTATTATAATCATCCAGCCCAATTTCAGCCACTGAGGGCGGAACAATGAGCCATTGAAGCTGTGCTGGTCTTGCCTCCCATCCACCCTCTCCTACAGGAGCGAACCTGGTGCTGAAGCCTCGGTGGGGAGGGTGGCTGAGTCCTGTGACCTGGCTGCACCATCGTGTTCCATGGAGACTTCTGGGAGGTCTAGGCATCGGTCTTCTCACTCATCAAGTGGGAGGCCGAAGAAAACACATCCGGACATCGCTTTGATCTCCTCCTGTTCTGTACCATGTCTTGAGCCTCAAACTCAGGAGCTAATTACAGCTGCTTTGGGGAAATTTATGGATACGAAAATTCTTCAAAGATGCTGAAGACCATGAGGTGCTGTTAGTCTTCCTTACTACGCGTGGCTGCCATACCCTGCTAATATAATTACAAAAAGAAAGCCTGTGGGGTGCCCCTTGTCACACACATGTGCCTGGTGCCCGGTGGTCTGGGTGGGTCAGCGGTCAGGGCAAGGAGCTGGGTCCAGCTGGCTCTTGACCCCCAGCTGTGATGTAACAAGGTCACACCATCTCTTATTTACAGTCTCACTTCATTCCCAAGCATTTGGTGTTATTTGATCACCAGTTATAAGCCAAAAAGATCCCAATTTTATTAGGAATGAAAGCTTACTTTTGTGAAACTGCAAGGCTGGATCATTGTCCCATGAAACCTTAGAGGCCAGGCACTTGGCAGGCTTGAGCTGGGTCTGCCTTACCCATGGCTTTTGCTATCACTGCTGGCTTTGAATTTCCTGCCTGGGAAGAGGCTAGGGAAGGACCATCAGGTTAGCTGAGGCCTTGGCTATTTTCTCAGCTCACCTGGGTTCAGCAGAGCTAACATTTCAGTCCATTGGTGCATTGCCCCCTGCCTTGTCTTAGTGGGGTCAGTTCCAAACACCACAGGCATATGGGAGGGGAACCTCTTGCAGCCCACTCGAATGGCACTGGGATAGCTGCTGGGACTCTAGCTTGGGTTTCGGGATTAGGGAAATCGGAGCACTGTGAAGCACGTCGGGGCTGGGATTACTTTGATAGACTCCACAGACTGATGCCAGGGCTTCTTCACTGCCCTTGAAGGTTCTTGGACAGGAACCAGTGTTTGTATGGCTTTGAGGGAACCCCCACCCCCCGCCCCTCACATACATACCTGGAAAAAGTTCAGCAGAAAAGCGAAGCCTGGGTAGTAGTTTGGCAGAAATTATGTCCTTACTTACCCCCCACCCCCACCTTCTGTTCCCATCAGAGGGGCAGCAGCCAGTTTCCTTCTGTTTATTTATGCCCCCTTCAGCTGCAGGAAGGAACTAAGACAGCTCTGAGGGCCTAGAAGCATCCAGCAAAAGAGCCCAGATGTAAGGTGGAGATGGTGGTAGATGAAGAAACACGTGCAGGACACAAATGCTGCCCAGGTGGGGCCCATCTGGCTCTGGGTTTCCTCTCCAAGGCTGCTGCTGACATCAGCACCAAGAAGAATCCTGGTGAAGGGGTGGGGGGTGAGAACCAGGTTGTGGGGAGGAAGAGAGGGTAGGGAGAAGGGGAAGGAAGTGGAAGGAGAGGAAGGAGAAGGGGGTTGGGGAGGCAGAAACAGTTCAGCAATACAAACACTCCAGGGTTACTTTCTCAGCCTGGGGTCCTTAGAGAGATCTTCTGTGCTGGTGGCCCCACTGGTAGGGATTGGGGCTCTGTAGCAGCCCAAGAAGCACAATTTGGAGAAAATGGGTGCTGGTTATTTAGCTCCCTACATCAGGAAGGCAAAGGCAGGGGTCAGGATCCTGGCTGGGTAGGCAGTGAGATCCCTAGTGGCATAGGGCTGGCTCAGGTCTGCAGTGGGTCTAGTGATGGAATCCCTGGTCCTGTGCTGTGGTGGCAGTGTCTCCCACGTTGCCCCTGATTCTCTGTGCCAGTTTGGGCTGGCCTGAGCTAGAGGAAGGCAATGGTTCCCATACCAGGTGGGAGGCTCACAGCCTGTGAGTTTGGGGCTAGGAGGGTCTATATTCCTCTGAGGCTGGGGTAGACCCCCAGGAGTGTGATGCCCCTCAGGAGTCACCAGAGGTTGATGACTGGGCAAGTATCCTTGCCAATCAAGATGGAGAACTGGTTCAGATACTTCCCGAAGGGGCTGGCCTTGCAGGTGAACTTGAAGAACTTGTAGGGACCAGACCCCAGTATGTGTGCTTCTGAGAGTGATGTGAACTCAGGGTGGTAAAGTCACATGAGGGCCTGAGGCCTACCCTAGGGGCTTATTCACACCCCACTTCCTCCTTGCTGCCTGGGCCAGGTAAGAAGAGGCATGTGGCTGGAACACTGTGGAGCAAGCCACCCCAGAGACCTCAGAGGCAAGCCCCAACCTGAGGTAGTAGGCACTGCCTGATGACAAACTTTGTCATGGGGCAGTTCTGCCTCTGACAGTAGTCACTTCCTCAGCCAGGTCTCCCTGGCCACGAGAAAACATGGCTGAGGCAGGTGGGGGAGGGGACAGGTGTTCCCTGCTCCCTGTCAAGCAAAGCTGGGGTTCCCAGCAGGTTTGAGGATGCTGAGGGAGCAACCAGAGATCTGTGGAGGGTTTGGAGGTGGACTGCAGGTTGAGTACCGCACTGCCTCCCAGGCCTGATGCCCACTCTGTTCCTCCTGTTCCAGACCCTTCCTGAGTTGGGTCTCTGCTCCTCCCATGTGCTCCTTTGATCTTTGGTCCAGTCCTCAATCATAGCTTGTCACTCCTCTGTGTCCACCTCCCAGGCGGCCTCAGGACTTTCGGGGACAGGACCTCATGGGCTGGGGAGGGATAGGGGTGATGGCTGGCTGGAGGAAAACCCGCCCCACTTCAGAGTAGAAGATGAGGCAGAGGAGGTAGTTGTCCCCTAAACAGCCCCCCTCCTTCCCATGTCGTTGCACAATCTGGAGTCAAAAGCAGAAGTGTGCAGGACGTTGCCGGGGGTAATTGTAGGTTACACAGAACAATCTGAGGAATTAAAATCATATTTTCATTGCACCATAAAAACATGCAAAGGCGGCGGTAAGGCGGCCCTGGGGCCAAGGGGAGAGCACCTGGCCTCTGGTGCTGCGGCCCCTCCCCAAGCTCCCTGGGAGGAAAGGACAGGGCAGGGGTGGGCCCAGAGAAAGGACCTCAGATCACACAGCAAGCCTGAGCTGGCAGACTTGAGGGGTACACAGGACAGAAACTGTTTCAGCCCAGCACTCTGTCCTACTCCCCACACTCTTGCTCAGGCCTGAGAACCAAGAACACAGCTGTCCTGCCCTGAATTCTGGATTGGAGGCCCAAGGAAAGTGGATATCCAGGGCATTGGGCCCCATGGCCAGGCAAGCTCTACTGACAACACAAGACCCCATGGGTTGACTGGTTGATGCATTTGCCAGGTCCAGGCTCTTTGTGGCAGGCTTTTTCTGAACACTAACTACTTGTGAGTTGCATCAGGGCCCTGCCCACTGTTTACTGGTGGGGGGGTGAGGGAGGTGAGGGAGGGTATGAGCCCAGCTAGTGGGCTGAAGCTTCTGGGATAGGGGGCTGTAGAGACTTAATGCCACATGAGTGGCATCCCTAAGAGCTGTACTGAGCACCCACACAACAGATTGGTGAGACTGGTGACACCTGCACCTCAGATTCTTTGTTCTCACCCAGGTGATGGTACAAGCTGCTGGAATGGCCAGATACAGCATAGAGAAAGCAGATGTCACAGACACAGCAAGTATGCCAGGGCAAAGTCCTTCTGGGGAAATGGGCATGTAAAAATTCCACCTGGAGGGGCCTGTGGGAAAACAGGCATGTGGGTGGCACTCCTGGCCAGCAGGGTGATCAGACTGCCCAGTGTGTACTGAGGACCTCCACACAGGCTACATCATTTCTATTGTCACACAAAGCAACAGGGCCATTTGAAGTTTCTCTTTTGTCCCACAACAGGGGCAAATTCAGTTTTGAGGGATCTGCAGGCCCCTGGCCAGAGGCACCTACTAAGTTGCCCCCAGGGACCCCGGTCTGTTCACTGACCTCAGCAGACCTCGACTTTGCCTCTCAGCTAGGGGAACACCCAGTGTGGAGGTAAGCCCGCCCTGCAAGATTGGAGGCCAGGGTGTGCCACCAGCCGTGCGTTAAATGGGATACGGCTGAGCTCTCACTGCACTTGTTAAGAGGACCCGGCCTAGCCTGGCACTTGGCATCTTAATTAGGTGTCTGAGAGCTCCTGCACACGCTTCACACCAAGCAAGCAAGCCTCTGAGGCTCCAGTAGGCCCATTAAGGTGCAAACACATTCCTTTGTTAGCTGACAAGCAGGGTCCCATCCAGGGCTCCCGGGCGGCAGACTAAGTGATGTTTTCTTAAGGAAGACATGAGATTAACCGCTGCTAAAGCTCCAGCACAATGCCTGGCCCTGCCCGTCACTGTCAGTGCTGTCTCTCTGTGAGGTGACTGACAGGTGTGGTGGGTGCCCCCGGGAGCTCCCTGGCCCATCAAGTCTCAATGTTCAGGATTAGCCTGAGCACAGCTGACAAACTGACTGGGAGGGTCACAATGGAAATAAAGTGGGGTACCTGATATTCAGGGGACAGAAAGCCTCCGACACCTCTGCCAAGTCCTGTTACTGGGCCACACCGCTGGCAAGCTGCTCTGGAATAAAGCCCTTGGAACACCTGCTGGGAGCCTGGCCACTCTCCATTCTGCAAGGTGCAGAGATCCAAGCTGAAGTTCTCAGGAAGGATCCCTGGGGTCTTTGGGCAGCCCACTCCCTGCACCAGGAGGAGGTGGGACACCTCAAAGCACAGCAGCTGAAGACAAGGTACACAGGGACCCCAGGTCCCTAAATGACAGAGATGGACTGACAGGATGCTGGTCTGGGTAGCAGTCCCTATACCTATCCATCATTCTGGGGGACAAGATGGGGACACCATACACAGAACAGACTTTAGGGGAAATATCCTCTTTATTTATAACTCCAGAAAATACCAGGGGGGCTCGGACGTGAGCAGCCCATAGGGTGGGTTTCTGCACAGGTCGTCATCATCTGGCATTTGGGGCTGGCAAGGCCAGCCCAGGCAGGAAAGGATTCAAAATGCAGGTGTAGGGGCTAGCAGCTCCCAGAAGCCATCCCTGCAGGGCACACAGGCAATCCGTCCATACACGCTGCCCCACGCTGGCTACCTCAGGGGCCCTCCAGGCAGGAGCCGTCCAGTTAGGGGCAAAGCTTGCCCAGATTTGGCCTCCAGTATCCTGTCAAGAATTTAGGGTCAGCATGGGGTGACCATGTCTCCCATACCCACACACAGGGACCCTCTCAGGACAGATGAGAAATGTACCACCCTAAAGAGAGCCCACCCTCCCCTAGGTGATGTGTCATAGGGAGCAATGCACTGCTAAAAATATTTTGAAATGATAAAAACTTATGCCAGGCCCTTAACAAAATAGCTCTGTTAGGTAAAATATTCTGATAAGAGTTTCCTCAGGCTTCCCTTTGTTAGTATGTACCAGAGATAGACCTGGTTGGGGAAGGGGGTTGTGGTAGAACACATACCCAGAGTACCCAGGAGAGGCCCCAGGCCTGGGCCAGTTGTCCACTATACCCTCAGAAGCCACTTGGCCCCTCATGCCTGCCCACGGGCATCTTACAGACCCTCACTCTGTCTGCGGTCTACCTGGGCCCTGAGGGGAGAGAGGAGGCCTGTAGGACCAGGCCAGGGAGGGGCCCACTAGCGGGGGTGAGAACCCCTGACCCGCCACCAGGGCTTGAAGCGTACACTCAGAATGAGAGAAGAAAGGCCATGGCCACATGCATCCCTTTGACAGGGGTCAGGAGGGAACTCGATAATTTCTTCCTCCTCTGAAGAGGACTGGGATGAACAACACTCCCCAAGGTTTCCGGCCTCTACCAACCTAGCTTTACAAAGCTCTACAGCACCATATGTCAGGCAGTTGCCATGCACGAGACAGCATCTCCACCTTCTGGGCGAGAGAGAAAGAGCCAGCACTGCTACTTAGCACTGAGCAAGGTAAGAGCAAGCAGCTAGCTCCTCTGCTCAGCAGCCCACTGAATTCAGTCTGGAGATGCTTGCTATGCCCAGTGCCCCCTGACACAGATGGCTACAGGTGTGAGCCCAGCCTGAACACCCGTGTTTGGGGAGCAGCAATAGTCAGGCTGGGGCCTGGGTTGCCCTGTGGAGGGTGGAGCCCTCAGGGGCCTCCCATCCTAACCCTGTTTCTTTGGTCATGGTGCCCTGGGCACAGGGCTCACCTGTCTGAGGTGACATGGCAGGTGCAGTCTGCCACACACCAGGAGAGAACAATTCCTGTGGTTCCCCCCTTCCCTCCCACCACAGCTTTAAACAGAGTCTAGCCCACATGTGTATACCTGGATCCCAGCCTCCGAAGAGCCAGGCTGTGGGTGGTGGCAGGTGTGCCTTGTGCTCTGGGCCTGGCAGGGATGGTGGCTTACCCTCAGCAGCCTGTTATGGTGGGGTCCAGGCCTGAGCGCTTGGAGATGCGCAGCTTGGCCACCTCCTCAGCACAGGTGGGATGGATGCCCACTGTCCGCATTACCTGTGCATAGGAGGCCCCACACCTGCACATAAGGGGAGAAGGAATCAGGGCAACAAGTCAGGGCAGGGAGACATGTTCACAGCAACCTATTCCCAGGAAAGGGGCACAGAGGCGAGATCCTAGGAAGATAGTTTCCTCACTGTCCCCCTCATTGTCTCTCCTCCAAGAATACCTGCCAATACCTATGTTGGACCATCCTACCTCCCTCTGAGAATGCCCAGTGCCTAAGAATTCCACCTCCCCGCTCCTCCGCCCTCACTGGCTCCAGCCTGGCCTCCTGTTGCTCCCAGCCAAACAGACACAGCCCCACCTTGAGCTTTGGCTCCAGCTGGTCCCTCCATGGGACCCACTCCCTTTCTGCCAAGGGGTCCAGAAAGCCCAAGTCCACTCTTTTCACTGTAGCCTCTTTTCATCTCAACTGCACAGATGCTGAAAACTATCAATACTGAAGAGTGGCAAACCTTTGAACTCTTACCCACCAGAAGGGTTTCTTGGTATTTTAATTACACTTTAAAATTCTTAAGGCTTTCCACTACTTATATTTTCTTTTCCTGTCAATTGCCTACTCAAGTTTTCCCATATTTCTATTGGATTTACCCTATAACTATCAGTGTTGATTTATAAGAACTCTGCATATCGAAGAACTTAAAAGACATTTCTCCAAAGAGGAAACGCAAATGTCCAACAGGCATATGAAAAAATGTTCAACATCCCTTATCATCAGGGAAATGCAAATCAAAATCACACTGAGATACCACCTTACACCTGTAAGAATGGCACATATCAAAAAAAACGGCAACAACAAATGTTGGTGAGGATGTTGTGAAAAAGGAACTCTCCTACATTGCTGGTAGGAGTGCAAACTGGTCCAACCACTATGGAAAGCTGTGTGGAGGTTCCTCAGTCTACTAAAAATGGAGCTACCATATGACCCGGCAATTCCACTCCTAGGGATCTACCCAAAGAACACAAAAACATTGATTCAAAAGAACACCTGGGGCCTCCCTAGTGGCACAAGGGGTTAAGCACCACACTATGAAGCAATCTGCAGCCTTTGCAGCATGAGTTCGAACCCAGGCCGGCTGGGGAGCAACACACATGGCGCAGCAGACCTCTCCTGCCTCGCCCGCTGCTCGCCTCAGCAATGTATTTCAGTCAGTCTGCCTGTTCTGTTCCCCACTGTCTCTGGTGAATCCTCTTACCCCCCACATCTCTAGCCTGCACCCCAGCTCTTGTATGCATAGATAAATAAATCTTTAAAAAAAAAAAAAAAGAACACCCACACCTCTATGTTTACTGCAGCATTATTTACAATAGGTAAAACCTGGAAGCAACCCAGATACCTAAAAATAGATGACTGGATCAAGAAGATGTAGTATATATACACAATGGAATATTATTCAGCAATCAAAAAAGATAAAATCATGCCATTTGCAGCAACATGGATGGAGCTAGAAGGAATTATGCTCAGTGGAATAAACCAGAAGGAAAAAGAAAAATACTGGATGGTTTCACTTATAGCAGGAATATAGGGGAACCAAATAAGACATCAGTGTAAAAAAATAATAACAGTACAAACACAACAAAGCAAAGCCAGACAATTATAAATCAGAGACATACTGCAGGGGAGGAGGCTGGAGAGGGATCAGAGGTGGGAAGGGAGGAGCACAAAGGACTGAGGTGATGGTGTATGGGTGCACTGGTGAAGGAAACTATGGGGACTACACCTGAGGGGGTGGGGAGAAGCAAATATTGTTTAAAAATGAACAATGATATAAAAAAATCTAAAAAATTATTTAAAAAAAAAGAACTCGCACATCAAGGATATCGGTCCTCTGCTGTGGCATTATTAAAAAGGAATTTTTTAGAGTTTTTCCAGAAATTGTTCCAGCTGAGTATTGGTCCTAGCACAAGTATCAGCATGCCGGAGGATTGAGATGGCTTTGTGGGAGAACCATGGTTCTGTCCACTGATGATACTAGAGATGTCCTGGGCTGGAGCTGGTACTGTGGTGCCATGAACAGTCTGGCATGCCAGCAGTCACACACAGAGCAGTGGGCAAGGCCACTGGGATTACCTTCAGTTGTGCCAAGGTAGAATATCCCCCCATCCAGGGCTCCAGTGGGGCTCAGCAAAGCCTGTACCCATGGGCTTCCTTCCAATAGTCACTCTAGATACAATTTCCAAACAATGGTGCTACTGCAGGTGCCCTGTAGTAGGCATCCATGACCAGGGACCAGACATATTCCCAAGACTGAGTCTGGTCCTGAAATCAGCCCTTCTTGCTCTTCTCCCAGGTCAGGCCCACCTCCCTGGGGGCGCCTGACACCACAAGCCAGGGACTGCTTCATTGTGGGTATCAAGGGACGGAGGGCAATGGTGGGGACTGAGGCTCACTGCCTGTGACAGGGGTGGCGCCATTTGAGCCCAGAGTATGTGTGAAGGCTGACATCTTCAGGGTGTCTTGACTAGATACTTGGTCTTTCTTGGCCTTTCTGCTCCTTGAACCTCCCACCTTCACCTACCCCCAAGGTCAGCTCCCAGTCACACCCATACCCTAAGCACACAAGGGGCTGAGGTACCCCATGTGCCCTTCTCTGAGTCCAGGCCCTAGCTGTCCTTCATCTCTGCTTCACCCAGCCCTCCTGTCTCTGACGACCCCATGCTCAGGTGCCTAACCTCTTCACTCCCACCCAAAGCCTTCATCAGCAGGCAGTCCCCACACACCCATGCCTAAGCCTCAGGCTGCAGCTCCAGAAGACACATAGCTGCTCAATTCCAAGGTCTCTGGGCGCCCTGCTTTGGGAGGAGGGCTTTGACCCTGTTCTGCTGACTGGGCAGACAAGGTCCAGTGATCCCCAGGGTCAGCTGGGGACGTGAGGCTCTCCCCTCCCCCCTGCAGGCTGTCTGGACACCTAGGGACACTCTGTATGCCTCTAGTTTAACAGTATTTGGCTGAAGAAGAAAGCTGTCTCTCATCTGACTCCCTGCCACATCTGCAGAGATGCTCTGCTGAAAACATGGACAACATAACAAAAAAGCACCATCAAGGCAGTGGACTTTCCACTGTAGTGCTGCCAGCACTCCAAGCGACACCAGAGTGAGCATCATGTAAGGGACAGCATTCCTCTGCACTTACTTGATCCCCAGAGCAAATCCTTGAGTAACTTCTCCTGCACTGGGGCCAAGGAAGTGCAGGCCCAGCACCAGCTGCGGAGGCTCTCGAAGACACACCATCTGAAAGTCACGTTGTCAGTGGCGAGCCCAGAGGTAGGACCCCATGGTTGCATGGGTGGCCTGGCCTAGGGGCACATGTAGCCCTGGCAGTGCTCAAGGCCCTGGTGACCTACAAGGGATGAAGGGCACAAGCGCCTTCCTAGAGGATGTTCACATTCCTGGATTCTGAAGGGCTGTGGAGGGTCACCCACCCAGCAGCCAGCTCTTTCCCTCTCCCTCACCTCCTGGCATGCCCTGGCCCAGGCCCATGAGAACTCTCACCTTTATATAGCACTGGGATGCATCCCTTTCAGCCACTGTGAACTCCAGTGGTTTGTAATATGCGTGGTAAACCTGGAGGAGGAGATACCAATTCTTGGAGTTAGTGGCTATAGTGAAACCAGTCCCACAAGCATTTTACTCTGACAGGCTGTGGGGCATACATCAGGGCATGGTGGGAATCCAGAACCCTCCCATGCAGCTGGCAGATGTGGTCAAGAGTGGGGAAAAAGTTCAGTTGGCTGTGGATAGCACCCTTCTCTCTCACACACAGGCAGCCTGTGGCTGGATCTCTACTCTCTTCAGACGGGTCCTCTCCCACTGAGGCCAAGCCCCTATGAACCAGAGCAACAGACCAGGCACCAGCTGGCCAAGCAGCCTCCACTTTCATTCAGCACAGGGCAGAGGCACTGCTCAGGAGTGTGCACTGGATGGATGCTGCAGACTGAACAGGGCAACTGTCAGTAGTGGAAAGGGGTGCTCAGCCTGCTGGCAGGGGGAAGGGATAGGTAAGCAGGCAGTCTTCTGGCCGCCACTGTGCACCCTGGAGCTTGCTAGGCTTTTACTTGAGCCAGGAGGAGGGGCAGGCACAGGATGACCCAGGCCCACACTGGAGCTGTCGGACAAAGCCTTTCAGCGCCTGTGAAGGGCTTGACAGTGTTTTCAGGGCTGCGGCCAAGTAAAAAATGAGCAGCGTCCTCACATGTGCTGCACAGCCATTATTAATTAATGGAGCTTCAGAGAATATTGTTCTAACTAAGACAGAATTAAAAAGAAAACAAATAAAGGGTATTTGGCCATTCAACATTGTGAAACATAAAACAACATTATAAAATGCCATGAACATGTGTCCCAGTGTACTTGTGATGAATCAAACAAAAATAGCAAATAAAGTGCCAGGACATGGCCAGCCTGTCAGGCCTAATCTGCTGATGGAGTGAGCCAGGGCCCTGCGGCAAGGGGCAGACCCTGGAGCCCATGACTCACTCCCAAAGGGACTCAGACCCCACCATGGTGGCCACATAGAGTCTGGTTCTTCCTGGTCTGCCTGCAAACTGCCACAGCAGCAAGATGAAGCCTCACTGAAATCTTCCAGCCTCCATAGCCTGGCAGGTTTCAAAACCTCCCTGCATCCTGCCAGACCACCTGGGGCTTGTTCCGTGACTGCCCTGGGGCACCAGCCAGTCTTCGGAACAGACCCCAGAAGCAACTTTATCTGATGAAAATCCCTTCCTCTGGGGTGAATTCCCAAGTCTGGGTTATTGGGGCCTTGGGGAAACTGAGAATCTTGCAAGAGAAGCAGAGGCATGGGTCTGGGGAAGGTTGGGGAGGTCTTGCCTGATGGACCCACAAGGAGGGGGAGCTACCCCGGGGCAGGCGAGCAGGGATCTGAGAGCAAGAGCAGCTTTCCAGATCAAGGGAGACATGTGCCCATCTGAAATGGGCCACACCCCACCACACCCTTATTACTGAGCCACCCTCTTAATGCTCCTGTCCCAATGGGTCCTTCCTGCCGTGTCCCGGCCATCGTCTTGTGTCTCCACGCCCCTCCAAGACACAGGCCCTGAGAAGCAGGAATGTAACACTGCTGCTTATCCAGTAGGCAAAAGAGGGGCCATCAGAGGGTATGAGTGCTGCACAGGTGGCCTGTCCTGGCACCCCCTCTCCTCAGGGCCCTGACTTACCTCCACATGCTCCTCTCCATGGCAAGCCACAGCCTCCTCCTCTGACAGCCCCACACAGCCATATTCCAAAGGGGTAAAGACAGTTGTGGGGACCTGGAAGGCAGGTCCTGCATCAGGCCTGCCTCTGGAAACCCAAAATTAAAGTCCTTCTCTCTCCCACCCCTGCCCAAGCAGGATCAGAGGTCAGGTCTCCAGATGTGCTGGTTGGCAGATGCCAGACGGTGGGTGGAATGCATGGACTTTTCCTTGTTTCTGGGCTGCACCCCCAGAACTAAACATCACAGGCATGCACAAACATCCCATGCCCCCAAATGTGCCATGGCTTTCTCCAGGTTGACCTGGCATCTGAACAACAGCAAGCACTCACATTGTCGTAATCCATCAGGTCTGAGGACTGACCACAGAGCCGCTGGGCCAAGAGCTTCCCGGCCATTATAGCTGTGGGTGTCAGTTCAGGCCGCCCCTGACCAAAGGAAGGAGTAAGGGGTCATTTCAGTATCATGTCTAAGGAAATCTGAACAGTCCCTACACCTTCCTCAAAAGGAGAGAGGCATCTCCTTTGCAGAGACTCCAAAGCTCAGGTGTCCAGGGCCCTGGGCAGATTTGATTGTTCTTATCGGTTCCCTCAGTTCTGCTCTGGGTTCATGATCCTCTTCTCTGAAAGAGGTCAGCTGCTAATGAGCCCAGCCATACTGCCCATGCTCATTGCAGCTTCCCTCTGAACCCTTTTCTTGCATGGGTGATTTTGGAGAGCTGCCCCATGACAAAACTCAAAAGATCCTACAGCCTTCTGACCAGAATTCAGCTAAAACAGGCCATGAAGAAGAATTCCATGTGCTCCTTACACACACTTGACTTGCACCCTAGAGCCCATTACAAATCCCAAATCAGCTGTCATTAGGCTGGAGGGTCCTCTGTCCCAGGGTATGTCCTACTTGGCGAGCAGGGGGTGCAAAGCCCAAATGCTCCTGCACGCGTTAGCCTGGGACCGGCTGCCAATCACCTCTGTAGCAGCAGGAAATGCAGATGTTGTTTGACATTCCAGAAATGAATAGAGATCCGCAGAGATAAACTTGTGAAAGCAGCCTGTGCATTCCACTGGGCCTGACTAACCGTGGAAACATCCAGCATACAGCACATAATATCTCATTAACAATGGCCACCCCACCCACCTGCTAGACTCTTCCCTGCCACTTGCTGTACCACAGGGCATCATTAACTCTTTGGACTGCTTGGAATGATGAGCAGTCCCAATGTGAGTGGATTTAATTTTTTAACAAAAAATATTTTTGCATGTGCTTTATATTTCTGGCAACACAGTCTGAAATATTAGAAATTCCACCACATTGGCAAGAGTCTGGCATCTGATGGAACTCCAGTGAGCTTGGCTCCTGGGATGTACAGGCAGCATGCACGGCTTGCATATGTGCTCTCCAGTTAAGACCATGGTGCTACCTCAGGGCGGGCAAACAGCAAGAAGAGAGAGGCTGACATCAGAGAATGCCATGTTGAGCCATCTGAGGTCACATCGAGTTGCTGCACAACCTGGCTAAGTGGGCTGGGTCTTCAGGATAGTCCAGGGCATGAGAGTCACTAGTTTCACTTACCAACAGGCTGGTAAGTGATAACCCGGTAGTGAGAGGGACTGGGTTTCTGACTGAGCCCCCCAGCTGGACTGCATCAGCTTAGTGGTCTGCCCCATACACTGTTTCATAAGCCTAGGTTCCCAGGGGCCAGAGGGACTTAAGCACCAGCAGCTTTGCTCACATCTGGTAGGTAAACTGGGGGTGCTGGGGGCTGTGTTGCCATAGCAGAAGGGGTCTGGATGGGGCCAAGCATCTAGCAGGATTGACCCACACCAGATGGGAAGAGAGGCCCTTCAGAAACAAAGGCACAGACTTGCATGGGTCCCTGCCCTGGCCTGTCTCCACATGTGCACCAAACTCTCCCAAAGCTCCCATCCATCATGAGCTGCAGCACAGGCTGACAGACAAGACTAGAGGATGGTCCCCTCAGCAGAGGTGACAACTGCCACTTATGCCCTCTCACCTCTGGGATGCTCTACCCAGGGATTCTGGCCTTAGACTAGATCCCATTACCTCTAGGCATTTCCCAAACTGACACTCCCTCATGATTGTAAGGGTCATTGCTGAGCTCCCCCAGCTCACTCTGCCCCAGTCCAGGGACTGCATGCTGCACCCCACTCTCTTGACCACCAGCACCAAGCATCTTCTGACATGTAAAGTAGTTTACTTACTTAAAGGTCATCTGTGGCCCTACCAGAATGTCACCTGTATAAGGGCTGGGGCTTTTATCTGTTTCGACAGGAGCCCAGAACCCAGAAAAATAGGTGCTCAGTCAATACATGATGAATGGATGCAAATTAACACAATATGGTAGCAAAATGCATGTCTTCCTGGAATTTCAGAATGTGACCTTATTTGGAAATAAGGGTCTTTGCAGATAAATTAAGACATATATTGGCCTCCCCGGTGGCGCAGCGGTTGAGCGCTGGGTTGCAAAGCTGCCGGCGACCTCTGCGGCGCCGGTTCGATCCCCGGCTGCTCCCCGGCCACAGGAGGAGGGTCCCACATGGCGCGCAGACCTCTCCTGCTGCCCGCTGCTCCCCTCAGCAGTGTACTTCGGTCCTTCTGCCTGCTCTGCTCCCCGCTCTGGCTCTGGTGAATTCTCTCACCCTCCCGCGCTTCTGACTGTACCCAGTGCATGTATAAACAAAAAAACGAACGAACAAAACAAAAAACAAATAAATAAATAAAAACATGCCTCTATAAAAAAAAAAAAAAAAAAAAAAAAAAAAGACATATATTAAGATGAGATCATACTGGATTAGGATCCTGATAACAAGCAAGGACACACAGAAAAGGAGATGGTTATGTGAAGACCAAGCAGAGAAGGAAATGCTGGACAGAAGCCCATACCTCCGCCACATCTCCGATGGCATAGATGTGAGGGACACATGTGGCTTCCTGGGCATCAACCAGGATCTTATGACTATCAGGGTTTGTTTTTACTCCCGCCTTCTCCAAATTCAGACTTCTGGTTTCTGGAACTCGACCTGAAAGAAGTAAAGACAGGGCTGTAAAGTTTTTTTTAGTGGGTTTGACCTAGATGCCTTGGTTTATAGCATTTTTTGGATTGTCTACTTCAGACTGATAAAATCTGAAACACACACAGCATTGAGGGGCTCCTAGCCTCTGAGGCCTCAAGTGGCACCCAAACACACACACACACACACACACACACACACACACACACACACACACACCCCTCTCTATTTGCACAGCGAGTCGATGAAGGGCTGAAGCGGTACTAGTAGAAACAGTGAACCAGAGATAGGCAGGAACAGGATGCAGGGCACAGACACCTCTCTAAACATATCTTGGGATATAATTTGTGCTTTTAATAATTTTCATAGCTTATATATTTAAAAAGTAAAATTAAATAAAAAAAGGAAAATAATCCCTAAAACAGGTAAATAATCTGAAACAGTCTTTCTTTTATGAGGTTGGTGACAGCACACTCAGAAGGATAATTTATTAGTGATTATAGGAATGAATTAACTCTATATCCTCAGAGGATTATATTCTGGCAACAAAGAAAGCTGCAAACAAATCTTACATGTCATTCAAAGAGGACATTTAAAATACTGTAATGTAAAATTTGAATTGGAAATTCATGCTTTCTTTTTTGTGTGTGTGTCTTTGGCTCTGACCAAAGAAAAAGTCTAGAAGCAGCAACAACCCAAAACCAATGTGTACGAAAAACTATGACCTCTAAGCCCCTCCCCACTGAAGGGAGCAGAGTCAGTGGGGCAGCCACTCCAGGCTGCCATCCAGGCCCGGAGTGGCTGCCCCAGATGCCTTATGGGTGGGCAAAATGCGACCTCAGATCCCGCGGTCACCAGCCTAGAACAGCACAACAGGGCCACTTAGCCAATATTCCCTGAGGAGAAGACACGGACTAGACACAAACCAGGCCCTCTCACAGCTGTGGCTCCTGTCCTAGTCACACATTTTAGGATAGGGTGGGGCATAGGGGTGTTGTCTCCATCTCCATGGAGGCCACCTGTGGGCCACAGGTGAGCCAACAACAGCCTCATGAGTCACCACATGGCCTTCCCGGGGGTGGGGCACCCTCCTTCCCACTCTCTCTGTCCTATCCACCTTCCCACACCTTGTTCCTGCTGTAGGCTCATACTTCAGTCAGAACGGCACTTCATGGTTTACAATTCTGTCCTGACCAGATGGTATTTGCACAGAAACACCATGACCTTGTGTCCTGAGTCCTTGTGTCCTCAATAGGACATCCTCTGAGATCTATTTAGCAGTAAAGGAGTGAGTTGATCAGACAAGGCAGTGAGAATGCATGAATCGTGCCCTGTCCAGGACCTCAGGGTTGTAGACAGACCCTGCACCCACTATCTGGGACCCAGCTGTGGAGTAGGACAGAAGGCCAGGCCTTGCAGCAGCTCCATGGGGCAAGCCAGCTCCTCTCCTATGTCCCAAGCACCTGCCAAGCAAAGAGCCTCAGCTCTGAGACCTGCAAAAATGAGAGCCCCCCCCCAGGAGAGGGGGCTACAGAATTGAATATCACACCTATCCTCTCCTGGCAGCCAGCTTGAAGTATCACAAAGGCCAGGAGGGGCAAGGGAATGAAAGGCCCTGGATATATTGGCAGTTTCCTTGACGCCTCCATCCCCTCACAGCCCTGGGCCTCATCACAGCCAAGCTGTCAGAAGAAGTCCCTTTCTCCCCTAATTCAGAAGATGTGGCCTTAGGGCACCAGGCACAGGCTTCAAAGGCACAGTTCCTATAGCTTGAGGTGGCTCAGACACACCAGAGGCAGCAGGCGGTGCCAAATCTGAGCATCTGGGAGACCAAGTGCTGTGAAAGGGAAGCCTTAAGTCTCCAGCTGCTCTCCCGGGGAGGAAAGTCAAAACACAGAGACTCCTCTAAGCCATGCTTCTCAAGTTCATGGGGCGCAAGCTCCAGCCTCTTTTCTTTGCAGGTCACAGGAATCAGGTGCCAGGAAGGCTGGCACCATCTCAGATCAGATGAGGCCAGACGTGATGTCCAACACCCCAGGAGGAGGTGCCTGCCTAATGATGGCTGGACAGCCATGCAGATGCAGACCTGTGAACATGGAGAATAGGTCCGTTTCTGCCCTGGCTGAGGGTACTGGGGAGAGGGGCAGGGAAAGCCCAACTCCTAGCTTGGGGGAATGGGACCTCTGGATACATGAAGCACCTGGGAGTCCTAGAGGTCTCTAAAAGGACTGTACTCAGGAGAAATGAGCCAGGTCCAATGGGCAAGGCTGGAGGGTGTCTGCTGAGAACTAAGGGCTGAGGCCTGGGGCTCAGATCTCAATTCTCTGGTTCTTCTCAGGTCCTGGGTTCTGGAGGACATAGCACACAGCAGCCCACTACCTCCTGGTGATAACTCTGAGGGCAGTGGGGGTGGTGTGAGAATGTCTAAGGGCAAAGCTGGTGCAGCCCACAGGTCACCCTGAAGATGTCGGCCATGCTGTATTCACTGTACCCGTACTTGTTCTTGCACTCCCATCTGGCGGGGTGACAAGAGACCAAGAACAGCTCCTCCTGTACTTCCTGGTAACCATGGTAACCTTTTAGCAGCCAGCCAGACTCTATCTGAGGTCCCCAAGGAAATAGATACATTAAGAAGTAGTAACAGGAGGGCCTCCCTGGTGGCACAAGGGGTTAAGACACAACCTATGAAGCTGTCCGCAGCCACTGCCACACGAGTTCAATCCCTGGCCGGCCAGGAAGCATCTCACATGGCGCAGCAGACCTCTCCTGACTCGCCTGCTGTTCCCCTCAGCAGTGTATTTCGGTTGATCTGCTGTTCTGTTCCCCACTCTGTCCCTGGTGAAATCTCTCATCCCCCACACTTCTGGCCTGTATCCCATTTCTTGTATGCATAAATAAATAAATCTTTAAAAATAAACAGTAGTAACAGGAGATAACAACATACAATCAAATTAGGTGGCCTCCACGGTCCATTTCTAAGCAAGGATTTTTAAGAACATGTTACATATAAAAACCCGGAAAGCACATAGGAATGTCAGGCCACCGATATGAAGCACAAAGGGATAGCAAGTAGATCGGCAGTGGTGAGGGTGGGAGTAGGTGGTATAACAGAACATGTCTGCTAGCTCCTGAAGTGAACAAGGAAGAGCTAGACCACACCAGGCAGGCAGATGGCCCAAAGGTGGCCACCCTGCGCACGCTGGCATTTGGAAGCTATGCTGGGGGGTTCTGTGTGGAATGAGACCCAGCTCTACCCAGGCACGCCAGACCGAGGAGTCATGGCCAGTACACCGGGTCCTGAACCCCTACAACAGGCTCCTAAGCAGACAACCCAGGAAGCAGTCATGGAGAAGGGAGGGAAATGTTCCCTCCAAAGTTCTGTTTCCTCGTGCTCAGAGGCGTCATGTCTCCCCTCAGTGCCCAGGTCCTGTCAAATGATGCAGGAGCCCACTCAGGTCAGGCCAGGCAGAGAATGGGTGCCAGGACAGATACCCACACAGACAATGCCCAGCCCAGGTCTAGGCTGGACTTAAAGCAAGACACAAATGACATGAGGACGCTCTCCCTGGTTATCTTCCTCTTACTTTATGTAAAAATGAAGGGGATACTCTTCAGAGGACTTGGGGGAATTAGGGGACAACCACTGCACTCCACCTGTGTCACTCTGTGTGTTGTACTCAGAACTTTCCCAAATTATTCCATGTCTCAGGATGGCTTGCTCCCTGCTGAGTGCCTCTGGGTGAGCGCTGTGGACTGGCTCTCCTGGACGTTCAGTGGCTCCGACATCTCCTCTCCCTGGACAACACCAAAATGCAGATGGTGTTTTATCCATGTGTCAGTTTAGCACCTTGTGGCAAGTCCTCAGAGGAGGGAGGAGGCAAGCAGGGCTTCTTAGAGGGTGCTCCTGGAGATGGAGAGGAGGCAGAGGCCCACTAGTTTCTCTCTGTGATGTTTTACTTTGTTGCACTTCTTTGCTTACTAGTAAAATTAGCAATTTAAGTAATTAAGTGTTAAACTATATTTCCTCTTGTGAATTTCCAGTTCTTGCCTTTTCTCAAACATTTATAGACCTTTGTGATTTTTCTGGCCTTATGAGAGCTTCTTATACATGTGTGACACTCTGCCATAGTCACCACAAATGAGGGCATTTGAATTCTAGGTACAAAGAGAGATTCTCACTTCTTCAGAGGCACTGTCTCTGTAACTTCATGGCTAGAGCTGTCTCTTTCCCAGTGTCCACCATCCAAAACACCCCAGGGTCCTGAAGCGGTATGCAGTATTCAGTCTGCAAACTCGTGATGCAGCTGGGGCAGCTAAGCCTTCCTTGGATCCCTTGGAATCCAACCAGCTGCTGCTGCTGACCCAGGGGGGCAGTCCAGCCATTGTGCCCATCCAGCAGCTGCAGAAAGCCCAAACCCACCCAGGTGGAGTCTACTGGTCGTCACTACCTGCTTGGCTGGGCACAAAGATGCGGACAGCTGGACAAGAGCAGTTTCATGTGCCTCTCTCCTCCTGTTATGGGAAAATGGGTGTTTCCTCTAATTTCATAGCTTGCCTGGAGCGCATGTTCCAACAAGTGAAGGGTAATCATGTAATGAGGTAAAATTTAAGTGCCAGCAAGAGTATGACAGGGTGAGTGAGGGGCTGCGATCAGACAGACACTGGAGGACGTAAACAGCTGGAAACTCTGTGCCAGGTGAACAAGAGTACAGTAGTTTGGATCAGGTGTTGTGGGCAAGGTCCCAGCAGTAGTTTCATGTTGGGCTCAGGTAACTTTTCTAAGGGGCATGAGGCCCCCAGAACCAAGCACTCCCACTGAGCCAGGCCTGCCAGGAATTCTGGACCAGACACAGAAGGGAGATTCATACCTTTAGAACCTCTGGCCAGATCCGTGGAGAGCTACTTAAAAAAATTTTATTATATGTCTTGCATGTTATTTGTCTTAAGGGAAAACTACAATAACAGCAAACAGCTTCCTTTATTTTCTTAAATGGTCTCCTCTCAATGAG